TAAACAATTACTCACCCACAAAATTATAATACCTCTCACGCGAACGGAGTTAACAGTCTACTAACTTCAATTTTAAATTAGTTAAAGCCAAGCTTGATATATACATTATTCGGATATCAACATTTTCTTTCCCGCTTCCCATTTCCTGCTTGAAGTGTTTTTTTACTTCATCTACTTCCTACTGTTTTACATCATTTACAACTCCAACAACGGCTTCTTTTTCAATTATTTTAAGCTGGGTTTTGTCGTGACGAATAAATCGTAGATATCTTTTTATACGAAATTAAGATTTTATCTTAGCAGCTGTCTTTGTATAAACTGTAAAGTTGACATTACCCACTATTTGTTGTTTGTGTAAACTGTTAAGTTCACATTACCCACATTACCCACATTACCCGTGGTGTGCTTGCAATTGTCTTCGCAAGTAGAAAAAAATATTTCATGCTAGTTCTCGTGCCATAATTCGTCACGAGAAAAAAGATACAAATCTCTAGCATGTGGCAAATTTGATAAAGTAATTCTAATAGGTTGCATATAATGTTTTGCGCATTGCATTGCATCTTTGTTTAGTTTTTATTTTTGAATTATAGGTACTTCGTGTCTAATGACTCGTGCCATGTTGTCTATAATTTAGCAATTATCAATTACTCACCTTTGTGGTACTCAGTTCAGATACTTTTTTACTGAAAATGGCAATTGTGACATGAAACATTTTAATAGATTTACAAGATATGCAAATTATTGTAGGTAAATGCATTTATTAAAACTGAGTTATGAATGAAAACAATTTATGTATACTAATTATATAAACATTAAACAATTCTAATTATAATTTAAATTATAAATAAATGCTACTTATTATTCGTATAATAAAGTATTTTTTTAATTAGCTACTCGGATTTTTTAACAAGTTAATTTATTGGAAAAATTATTCTACGAAAAGGCTTTTCGTAGAAAATTAACTTTAATAAATACATTTACGTAGCTGTTACATACTGGCTCTGTTGATGTGCATATACATTTAATACCATGATTTACATTGCAGTTATTATAGTTTTAAAAATGCTTTTGAAATTACTGGGATTTAATTAATAAAATCTTACCATTTTTTTTTACCGTCAAACCGACCATCGCCGAAATGATGTGTCCCACTCCTACCTTCTAGTACACGAACTAAGACACCCCTCCCCCCGGGACTATTTACGCATTACTTCAGGGAGGATCCCTTATAAGTTGGCAATCCATGTCATACGCTTCTCGTAAAATCTGCGTCCAGGCTACCACTCCTGAATCGAATTAGAAAGTCATCAAATTGCTCTTCGTTTTAGATTAGTTGGCGTCCAAGTCTTTCTTCTTCTCCCTTAGCATATTTCCGATGAATTGTGTGATTTTTATTCCAATTGCTCGTTCTATTATTTTTTCATTTTATTTGATATTATAGTGGCTTGGCACATATTGTGTACATTAGCACATTAACTAAATGAAAGATCAGTTGTTTTTTAACCAAAATCGATGGTATTTCTCTTCAGTTTTCGTTGACGAAGTTCAATGCGTTGCTTTGATATTCATCATCTATTGTTTCTAGACCTTTTAATGGTGATTTATCTAATTTGTAGCATTTCCGTTTCAAAAAAGTGTTGCGTTTTTATTAGTCACCTAAATATGTTGACACCTTAACATCTCTCAACTATGATCTATTCAGTTAAACCCTTTGCCTCCACTGCTCTTTGATCTGTAGAGTGTTGTAATGTTTCATTTACTGCAAATCTCATATGTATTGTGATTAAATATCGTTAATAGCACACAGTTTTTATAAAAAAAAACCAACAAGCTGTGTAGTTTACAGCATTTATCTACTAATACACTGCCTTAAGCTGACGTATCAATTAGTGGTTTTACATTTGCACGAATTTCAATAGACATATGTTACCTACGTTCTATTGCTGCATTTCCGAAGAAGTGAAAAAAAAATTTTTTTCTTTCTTTTTGCAGTTTCAAATAAGCAAATAACAAAGGCCCAGCGGCTTTTAAACATTAATTAAATGAAGTTATTCACTCAATTTTAGCTAATAGTACATATGTATATGTATTAATATCAGTTTTGAAGTTAGGTTAGGTTAGGTTATGCTGGCAGACCAAAAATAAAAGGTCACGCGTAGACCATTAAGGTCAATTGCGATACCAGATCAGAGTCTTAATTTTTTGGCGATTGTGTACATCATTAGGATGCGCGTTTTATTATTGAATTTTATTAGGATTTCAACAGAAACCTCAGGTATGTGCTCCAGTCAGATAAAACTGACAGCCTCCAAGTATTTTTGGCGAGTTCTCAATAGAACCAGGCAGTTTCAAAGCCCATTTCTTTTGCATCCGGCTCATTGCATTTTCTACAAGCATCCAATTTTGAAGTTGTTATGCTGTAAATTTGAAATGTCTTGACCCTCATTGTAGTGATTTCTCATTAGCTTTTAAGATAAATTTGCATTTATCATATAATTTATTATGACATTTCTTCACTTAAGTAAAGAGTAAGAGATAGTTTTGTATGATGTCACAGCATCCCCCCACACACTTGAGAAACGATCTCATTGCTCAGAAAAAAAAAACCGTTTTGCATAATTTTAATTTAACTTTCGTCTATGTAACTTTTGTCTATGTGAAAATATCATGAGATACATAATAATTTTTGTTAATTATACTAACGAATGTGATTGCAAGTGCGAGTGCGCGGCCGTATTGCGAAATTCGACTTAACACTTTCACTTCGCTTACAAGAAATTAAAAGTGTGAACAAATAAATAACGGAGAAACAAAGTAAAAAATTAACAAATATTTAAAAGATTTAACAAAAAAAAATTTATCTTCATTATTTAATCATATTACAAAACAACTTAAATTCTCACTGAAGAGCTTTTAATACAATTTTTTGTTTTTCGTTTTTAGGAACTTGATGTTTTAACACTTGGAGCCAAAGATCAGGAACAGATCATCGCAGATAGAAACAAAAGAACAATCGGACTCTTACGTGAACTGTTCCCTGACATTACAAAGGTATCTTAAGAAGAAGCACATACAACACAAACACAGAAATACAGAAATACATAAACATATTGTACAATACATGCTACGTACATACATATATACATACATACACATATACACAGTTATACACATAACTCAAAACAAAGAAAAACATTGTAACATCAAAATATTATTTAATTAATTAACTGTTGTATTGTATGAGATACTAAGATACTAAGATACTAAGATACTGAGATACAAGTTTAAAAAAAATTATTTTATAAAAAAGTTAAGTAATGTGAGGTGCGTAGTTAAACTTTTGAAATGACTTATTTACATAATTAATTATTAAATATTTATAAGTCATGTGTCAAAGTGGAATTTTGACTGTTGAGCTAACAACAAATCGTTTTGAAATTATAATTAATACGCATTGTATCTGCCCGAAGCGTTCAGTTATTTATTGGCCACATGTATCTATGTGACTGCAAGGGATGCTTATGTGCATTTGACATAAAATGAGGTGTGCGTACATGTGTGCATGTTAAGCTGCGTTGAGTTCCTTGAAATGAGCATTGCATAACAAATGAACCCCACCTGTAATATATAACAACATTCGCATAATATTATTAATTTAATGTGCTAATATATGTCTACTCCCCCTTCCAAGCATACGAAGTGTTATCTTAAGAAAGTTTTCTATTAATCTATGCCAAACATACACTTTTTCCATAGCAAATAGATAGAGAAATAAATCGAATTGTTAATCAAATATTGAGCCATTTGGGTCCTGCAATACTTGGCACTGCATTGAATCCAACACTTTTTGGCGTAACTAACACCACTGACAACTCAGCCGACAGTCTGGCAAATGAGCCTGTAAACGAAAATCAAACCAATTTACCAAAAGAATTGGTAACATATCAGCCGGATGAAGAATTTCAAAATGATGTAACCGAAAACTGAGGCATGGAGAGGATCGAAGTGAATTTTTATATATATATATGGCGTTCATGAATTTCAACTGAAAACAGCAACAAATAACAATAGCTAATAGAAATTAATTATGCACTACAATTTTAATCAAATTGACAACTTAATCAAACAATATTGGCAACTTAATTGGCTAATAACATTTTTGAAAATCAAACAATTTAAATTGAAATTTTAAGAGCACAAAATTATTATAGTCTTGATCACCCTTCTTTTGTGTTGCAGTGAACGCCCGTCGTAAAAGGGAAAAAATAACATATCACAATGGTTATAGATTTTTTTTTTATTAATTATTTAAGATACTTTTCCTAGTGCATGGTTTGGTTTAATTAAAACATTATAACCACCCACCTCCCCACCACCCACCTTATTGGTATACCTACATCACTGTCTTAATTTTGACAGTCACTTACTTTATTATGGAAACTTATAAATATTTGTATACACTTATATATTATATATATATATATATATTTACCATTATAATCTATTATAAAATTAAACGAAATGAAAACAATATTAAATTAAAATTACGTGACCAAAACATTATTGGCAAGCAATTGGGTTTTCCACTTTGGTATCAACAACAATAAAAATTATATATAATTGTTTCAATGTGACCCTTTTTATGCAATTCCATTGTAGCAAATCGATGCGATAGTCAATCGCATTATAGCACAAGTAATACGTGTCGCAGGACCCAGCCTACTGCCGGCTTTATTAGGTAATAATAGACCTTCGACAGAGCGTAGCAACTTTGATGCCAATTTCGATGATGATGATGATGATGATAATGATGACAGTAATGATTCTACTACTAGTACAAATAATAATAATAATAATAACAACAACAACATCAAAATTAATTCGAGAAACAACAACAACAGTCCATCAACAACAAGCAGTGGAAGTACTCGCGTACAAATTGATTTACCAACCTTTGCACCAGATAGTAATGATGATGATAGCGTAACTTCAGCAACAACTGAAGCTACACAAGTGAGTTCGAGTACTACAACAGCTATAACCACTAGCTCAGCAATACCTCCAACAACAAATTCCTTAAGTGGTTCCAAAGATTTTAACACATATGCACCTACAACTCCTTTCATAAATCCCACTACAATCCCAAGTACAACAACGACGACAACAACAGAAGCTCCTACTATCACCACAACAGAAGTCAGCACGACTGAAAGTACAACTACAATCACAACAACAACTCCTATACCAACAACTACGACTCCAATTCCTACCACAACTACAACTACAACTCCAGTTCCAACCACAACTACAACCACAACTCCAATTCCTACAACAACTACCACCCCAATCCCAACTACGACCACTCCCATTCCTACAACAACAGTTGCTACTACAACTACAACCACTCCAGCAACAATTGTTGAACCAACAACATCAACAGTGACCACAACGACAATATCAAATTTTTATAATATTGCCGAACAGCAAACAACCTCTACTCTTGATGTTGATGAACAACAAATTGTTGCTTTAATTGATAATTTAAATCGTATATTAAATTCTACCAATTATTTTATTACTACCAGAGATAATTTAACTACAACAACTACAACAACTACATCGTCAACTCCAACAACAGAAATCACTACAGTAAAAATTACAAAATTACTACCAATTGATGTATAAAAAAAAAAAAATATTTTGAAATTCTTGCAAATTGACAACATTCTATGAAATTTTATGCGAAATTCTTTATAAGAACAAAAAAAAAACATCCAAATGTCAAAATATTGGAACAACTATTTTCATCAAACTATATTCAGCGTTCATCAAATTAGTTGAAATTGACAACGCATCGCACTTGTACTCGTAGCTACTCGAATTCAGCATTAGTCAACATTAGTCAGCATCACTCACTTAGTGGATTATATATGGCCACAGCTGCCCATTGAAACTACGCGGTTTCAGGCCATACTACATACTACTTACCACTACTACTACTACTACTACTTAGTCTTTCATAGCGTAAATAGTCAATCTTCTCAACGTAATTAATATTTTTAATTTTACTTACATATTTTGTAGTTAGTAAAATTCGTTACTTTTAATAATTTGCAAAAAAAAATCATGTTCATTTTCATCATTATGAACGTCAATTAGAACATCAATATCATCATCATTATGATCACAATGTCGCCATATCATTTATGCGATATTTATCAATTTAATCCTCATCACTACAATTGGATTGTATTAATTGATCTTACTTAATTGGATTTCATCAAAAAAACAATAATCATAAAAAATATGTATTATTTAAAAAAATCATTAATTATCATTAAATTAATAAGGGAACTCAATTTTAACTACTCGACGAACTCCAATTTTTATTTTTTTTAATAACTTTATTAACATAGTCAATATAGAGATTGTTGATTCAAGTCTTCAAGGCAAATTATATAGACTTGAAGTTCCAACAAACTACATATATACGACCGGTACCATTGAGTACTCAAAACAAAATATAAA